GGCCAAAAAATGAATTGTTCGATAGGTCAAGATACTGCAGGTTTTGGAGTTCCTCGGATGTGCTTGGTATCATTCCTGAAAAGTGGTTACTGGAAAGATCTAGTTCTACAATGGCTTTCAGTCCTCCAATATCTGATGGAACTTTTCACTCTATTGAATTTCTTGAAACACTTAGATAGAGAAGACCACTCATCTTCCAAAGGCTCAACGGAAATTTTGATGAAAATTTATTAGAATCCAAATAAAGATGTTGTAGCATGCTAAGATTTCCAAAGCATTCTGGAATTAATCCAGAGAGTTCATTTCCATACAGATATAATTCAACCAAATTAGATAAATGGCATACCGCCTCTGGAATATGTCCCTGCAATTTATTGTTACTTAGATACAGCCCTTGGAGTTGTTTAAGCTTACCAATCTCAGAAGGAATACTTCCCGCCAAGTTGTTTCCTCTAAGGCTTAGGGTTGAAAGACCGCTCATGTTGCCTATACTTTTGGGGATGAGGCCATTGATGTGTGCATCTTCTATATTAAAGTTATGAATAGTAGATGAAAGATTCCCAATTGAATTGGGCAGAACGCCATTTAACGGATTGGAACCCACTTCTAGATCTCTCAACATCCTACAGTCCGCCAAAGAATTGAAGAATAACAACTCACGCTCTCTTGATTCATTGGTAAGTTGATTATTATATAGGAGCAGTATTTGCAGCTCACGAAGATTTCCCAAATTATTAGGAACTGTTCCTGTCAGAAAGTTATTACTTAGCTCCAGTAGCTGAAGCTTGGAAGCATTTGTTATAAACAATGGAATTTCCCCTTTGAACTGATTTACTCCCAAGTAAAGTCCTTCAAGGTTGGGGAGATGAAGACCTGTAGTGGCTGGAATTCTCCCCGAGAGGTTGTTGAAACTGAAATCGATCAGTTCCAAAGAAGAGATGTTGAAAATAGCCTCTGGAATTTCACCAGTTAGATTAGAATTATGGGCAAACCTTAATTCCCTCAAATTTGATAGCTTCCCTAATTCCGGAGGAATTTGCCTCACTATGCGATTGTTTTCACAAATAAGATTATGCAGATATGGACAAAACTTTGAGTTCTGTGAGTTGGCATATGTTGGAAGGAATGCAACCCGAAATTTGGTTGTGAGATATACTTAAAAAGTACAGATTTGACACAATATTCCCTTCATCTAGCAAGAGAGGACCAGAAAGGCTATTGTTTTCCAGAGATACGGCAAGTAGTGACGAGATATTAAACAGTGTTGCGGGAATGGAACCTGTTAATTGATTATCGAACAAGGAAAGAAATGCAAGCTGGCTCAGATTACAGACCTCCTTTGGAATGTTGCCGCTGATTCTATTCCCAGACAAACTGAAGTTCATCATTTTTGTGGCATTTCCAACAGAAGGAAGGATTATACCAGTGAGGCTATTATTCTTGAGATATAAGACGCTCAGTTCGGGTACATACCATGGCCCTCTCCACATTTCACCACTGAGTTCATTGAAAGCCAATGAAATTACTTGAACTCTCCGGTTTTGAAATAGACTTGTTGGTATACTTCCGTTGAGCTGATTGTTTTGAATATCAATCACTCGCAAGCGAGGCAAGTGGTATACTTCCGTTGAGTTGATTGTTTTTAACATCAATCACTTGCAAGCGAGGCATTTGGCCAAGTCCATAAGGGATGCCACCGCGGAAGTTGTTGTTCTGGAGATTGAGAACACTGAGAAAGGACAAATTAGCCAAAGACGGGGAAATTGTGCCTTGAAGTTGCAAATCAGGAATAGCCAAGGCCACAACCCTTTGCCTTTTTGGAGTGCAAGTGATTCCGAACCAAGAGCAAAAAGAAGCATTTTTGGTCCAATTATTGGCCAAAAAATGATTAGGACTTGTAATAAGATTTTGGAAAGCTAACAGAGCTTGTTGGTCAGTCTCATTAGAGGAAGAAAGTGATATAGAAAATTGGATTAGAAAGAGAAGAATCAATAAGAAAATGTGCTTCTCCATATGATATATAATGTTTCAAGGGAATTAATTTGTGTGTGTTGTATTTCCAATGATCAAAGTTACTCCACTATATATATATAACAAATAAAATGTTGAAAAATATAGACTATAATTTCCAAAATGTGAAAACAGATTCATACGGAGGAAAATAAATAACAAACAGATTAATGTAAAGACGCAAATAGAAAAAAGACACTAATTGGGTTGTGTTTCACAAAACGAAATAAAAGTCATAATAGAAAGAATAAATGTTAATATTAATTTTCTAAATATAGTTAAGAGCAAAGTCAATAGGAGTCAATCTTTCAAATCAACCTTATAAGGCTGTGGCCTGTGTTACACAACACGCATTCACTAATTAGCACAAAATGGATGAAATACTAATGTTTTCTTTTGAAGAAAATCAAACGTGACACACACTACTAGTCTACTACACACATTGTCATGTGTGATTTCACTTTTTTTTTTTTTAAATCTATTTTAAAAAAAAAAATCTATTTTATTATTTTTATTTTTGTTTTCTTTTAATTCCAACATATAATATATTCAAAATGCGAAAACAGATTAATAAGGAGGAAAATAAGTAGCAAAAAGATTAATGTGAAATTAAAAGGAGGAAAATAAGAAAAGGAATTTATCCATTTTTTCCTTGACAGTTGACACTACTTGGGTTGTGTTTCACTCATAATAGAAGAAAGAATTCTTGTTAAGAGGTTCGTAACTTCATACGATCGGTAAGGTAAGGTCTAGTTCCCTTGCTTGTACTTATTCCTTCTGTGGTTTTATTTATTTTTGTTTTAATTCACCAAAAAATAAAATAGGAGTAAATATTTTAAGTAAACCATCAACCAAAAATATGTCCAAACTTGTTTGGCATTAAGACGTTGTTGTTGATTGACAAAAAAGCGCTAATGTGGCAGTGTCATGTCTATTCCCACACAGTTGATCAACCATATACGGAAAAGTTGAGAAATGTTTTCCCCCTGTACCGAATACACCCTTAATTCAGGTCACTAAAGTTATAACAGAAATGTTTATTGATTCTCTTTTATAAATGTGATATTGTTTATGAAAAATTTTGTTGTATAAAAATAGGAAGGTTTTTGAGACATCTCTAGCGATCAAAGTGTCATTCAACCTATAAGTATAAATGATCATATGTCTATAGCATAGTACGAAAATAACAACTAAAACATAGTTTCAATGAAATTGCTAGATTATTTTTGTCACAATTAAACTCAGGATTATAGCAGAAGCCTCACACTAACCTTTCCAAAGGAAAACTGATAATAAAATATCCTTCACTTAATTTTTGAAGGGTATTTCTCCAGTTATGTTTTTGAAAGAAATTTTGAATAATGTGAGTTGGCAGATGTTGGAAGGGATGTGACCAGAAGTTAGATTGGAAGGAGTGGCAAACGAGCGAGTCGAGTCGATCGAAAACGAGTTAAACAAAAATGGATAAAGTAATCGACTCGACTTATATTTTAAATGGGTAAAAACGAGTTATCCAATGTATAATATTGGAAAACCGTGAGAGGTTGGCCAAAACGGACAATACCACACCATGTTAAGACTATCTTTGAGGTGATTTAACCCAATAATTCGCCATTCATAGGGATCATGCGTATGTGTGTGAAATTTCTAAAAAACTATGCGAAAAGTACTAAAATTGCAATTTTGGGGGTCAATCACTAATTATCGAAGAATCAGTGGACTAACTAACATACATGAAAAATGCCTAAAATCCTGTTTTGTGATAGCGAGTCCAAGTGATGTTCCTCTGTATAAAGTCTTTTCTTAATAAACTCATTTCCTGTTCTGCATCTAAAGTCCAAAAGCAAAATAGTTCAGCTAAACACCTTTATTAATTTCATTCTAGTTTCTAATTTCAAGCTAGAATTCAAAACATAATTACAAATAGATAAAGTAAATAAGGTTCAAAACCAACTCAAATGAAATTACAAACAATACAATGACTCCAAGTAGTACTATACGACGACTTTACTAAAGAAACAAAAGCATCATATAAACTTGCAACTCAGAAAAGAACACCATCCGAAGCGATGCTGATCACTTCTATGTTTCCAGAAATGTGTTCTTAATTTTGTTTAAGCCTCTTCACTACATCTTTCATGGTTATTCTTGATTCTGGCATTTCCTTTGTGCATTCTAAACCCAATTCTGTCATGGACGCTATGCACATTTCACTTTTACTAGTGATTTGTTCATCCTCACAAAAAGATTGACATCCACAATGACAATCATACTCCCTGAAAATGATAGTGTAATCCATTTCCTCAAGTCAAGATTTCCATTGCATATCTCTTCATCTGTTGTCCTTCTTTTCGTCAAAACCTCCATCAACATGATTCCGTAGCTATAAACATCACCACTAGTGCACACTATTCCCTCCGAGCCATATTCTTAGAAAAGGAATGAAGAAAAGTTACTCAATTGAAATACAACAATAGTTCTGCGTAAATAAAGACTTGCTCTTTTTACTTTTAGACCTTAGAGAGGCTTAACTATGATATAAGAGAAAATCAAAGAGTAGATTTTTTTATACTTGGTGCAATGTATCCAAGAGTGCCCAATGTCTCCGTATAAGCCACAGAATTGCTTATGGCTAAAATTTTAGAGATACCAAAATCACCAGCATGAGCCACCATATCTTCATCCAAAAGTACGTTCGCTGGCTTTAAGTCACAATGAACTATTGGAGTGACGTGACCATGATGTAGATATTCAACTGCCATAGCTGCATCAAGCATTACAATGACTCTTTGATGAAGGTTCAAGTGATGATCTTCTTTGTACAGCCAATTCTCAAGACTACCATTGGGCATAAATTGCAGAACAAAGGCTCTTATATAGTCACTAGAACATGTAGTAATCACTGGAACAAGATTTCTGTGTCTAACATTTCTCGTCACTTTGCATTTGGTATCAAATCTCTTGCATACTTGCTCATTGTCCAAATGCAGAACCTTAATGGCCACTGCAGTTCCACCAAACAATGT